TGCACAATGATGAAGAGTGATGTACAAAGTGGAAGAGTGTTCCTCCAGATATAACAGCACTAGTTTCACTTCGCAGTTGTTAAGTGTCATCAAGTTGAATACAACTGAGAGTAAGTTTTGCACAAAAGACCTAAATTCTGTTCTATAACTAACATAATTTCTGTACAGAACTCTGTTCTATAATTACCAACATTTCTGTGCATTTCAAGAGTTTAGAGTCTGTAGAGTTTCCAGAGGCATCTCGTTTAGGAAGTGGATGCCACTCCTGCTTCCTAACATAAATCAGTTGGGAAGCTAATCCAAACACTGCACATAATAGGTAACCATTATGGTATTTGACAAAACTATGGAACAGTGTGGAGTATCACAGCAACACCAAGTTGTTCAGTCCAGCAAATAGACAAAATATTGCTGTGTCATTAAAGGAATATTCATTCCACCATAGGCAAAGGACCCCTGCTCTTGGCAGGAAAAGAGCAGTAATACACATCAAAAATGACCCCCCAAAAAAGACCCCAAAAACTTCCCTTTAACTGCAACAATTTTAAGAAGGATTTTTTGATAGTGAGGAATCACAGACAACTCATTTTTCTCCAAGGCATTTTAATTATTCAAAATTAAGCCATGTTTGTGTTCCCTACTGAAAGAGAGGCAGCAGAAGACCAAGCAGATCCATAAATTAACAGGAAGTAAGTAACTTTGAATAAGGATGCTATAGTATCCACATAATTTACAAAATTTTAAAAAATGGTATAAAACAATTGGAAACAAAAGGAAAGGAAATATGTTAGAGATTAAATCTCATTTATAATAAAATCCAAGGAGAAATGGATCCATTTCTTACCCTACCAGAATTCTGATCTATGATGTATGCCTTGAAATAGATATGTCAACTACTGTAATTTAAAAATAGCAAGATTTTTATATTTTGGTACTTGTTGCAATGGAATGTACGTAATGTTTCACATTTTTTACACATTTGGTTATTTCATCTTTTTTACCAAATTACAAGGCCATCTCTAATTTTGGGATGGATCACAAGATCTCTAGTTGTTGTTGTTTGTTGTTGTGTACTGTTGAAATGGAACCAACTAAAAGGTGATTCTACAATGGGTTTTCAGAGATAGTAATCTGCATAGGAGTTGACCGTCCATCTTTCTTCCACAGAGCATTTAGGAGTTGAACCTCCTACCTTTGGGTTGACAGCACAATTCCTTACCACTCAGGCACCAGATCTCCCTTATTAGTTAAAAAGTAATAGAGGATATGGGCTCCACCCCTGGCACAAACTATACTGTTATAGTTGTAACCATCAACTATCAATGATCAACTATGACAAATTGTTACTAACAATGGGTAGCAATCAATTTAACTGCAAAAGGACTATGCAAATGCAAATATATCATAAACCTAGAGGAATAAATTAAAGCCTCTTCTTTCTCAACGAGAAGGTATAAAAGGTAAATGAAAAAAGAACAAATATTTAAGACATCAGGGCACTGACATGGATAGTTCATGGTTTTATCAATTAAATACCTAGGTCAGATGTTAATGGCAAATATGGCAAACGAAAGGGACATATTAGATAGTAAAACTATCTAATTGTAGTTAGATTTAATATATAATTAATTATATAGTTAGGTTTTTTTTAATAGGAGAAATCTTTTATTAAGTTTCTGTCAATTATTTCTCTGTTTAAATTTGGAGCTCAGCCCTCGTCATGCTTGTTCACATCTTGTCTGAGAGGTTCTGTATCAAGCAGTTGCTTTTGCTCCTACGTCTGGGCCCCACCGCTGAGCCCGCTCACAACTGCTTCCCACACATTCCCAGGTGCCTCAGATTTAATATATAAATATAGGATATTTCTGTGGCTGGCCACCATGTTTTGTACACATCTCCAGAACCACTCACCTGAAGAAGTTGCTGTGAATACCAGCTACTGTTTTTTCTCCCTTCCCAAACAGATACAGCTGGGTCTATAGCTGCACTGCCCCCTAGCAAGGAGACTTGTTCATTTGACATCCACTTCCCCACAGGGCTCTGTACCCTTCTATCAGTAACAACTGCTCCTTGAAGATGGAAAATTGCCACTACAATTTATGAAAATCTTCCCAGAAACACACATTTCCTCCATTCTGTCTCAAGGGTTTTGACCACCCTACCGAAGGACTTGAGGAGTATTAGAGTTAGGCCGAGACTCAACCACACGATCCTTCTCCTCCGGGCTGTCATCTTCCACTTTGGAGAATCCCATCCCATCTTGGAACTGAGGGCAAAGGAAAGGAAAGGTTTTCCTAGAGAGTACACTTATGAAAGTCACTCCAGTGGTGAGAAGAAAAAGTAAAACCACAGATTATCAGAGTTTAAGATTGTTGATACCCAGAAAGAACCTGTATTAAAACTGCTGTTCACTTAGGCTACCCCAAATCCTACACATCATGCCAAGGGTAGGGGTCAGCCTACAAGTTAGACAACTTGTTATGGTAAGAAAATGACCATATGGTAACTCAAAATAACCAATGTCTTATACAAAAACTTCTAAGAGACAGACTTTCCACAAAATATCTAAAAGAAGTTTGCAATTTTTAGTCACACACTAAATGATATTTGGGAATTTCATAAAAAAATCTGTAAGGGAAATTTTACTAAGAATAACCGACATGTGGGTAGCTTACTAATAAGGAAAAAATCTAATGCTACTATATTTATTCCTGGTGTATTGAAATGGCAGTTCATTCAGTCCACCCTCTATAGGGACTGTCTCAGCCAAAGGACAGAGCCTGTTGGAAAACCCACTTTTTCCATGGAGTGTTTTCACTCAAGGTTCTCTACTCACAGTTTCAAACAGCTCTTCCATCAGCTCATTCACTTCCTTTTCTGCAAGAAACCCAAAAAATGAGTAGTTGGCAGATGTATGTTTCAGTTTTCAATAAAAGTTAATTCTGGAAAACAATGTAAGCTATTTCCAGCAAGGCATGCAACCTAATCCTCTCATCTGAAAATGTATCGCTACCTGTGCCATCTTCACAATCTTGAAATCCATTGTTGCAGTCATCCTATAAATCGGTATCATTGAAGGTCTTCCTCTCCTTCACTGACCTCTCTGCTTTTGCAAGCATGAGACCTTTTCCAGATAATATGCCAAAAGAATATGAGCTGGAACCACCATTCTTGCCTTTAAGGAACACCTG